TATCTGTATAATACAGCACACCCTATGTACGACTTTGCTGAGAAAAGTATTATATCCTCCCTGCACCCAGGCTCACATGGCCCTAGACTTTTCCTTGCCTTTCCAATTTGGAATGCCTACCTGAACAAATGTCTGCCATGTTGGTCATGATTCTCTCTGAAAAAGAGTGTAATCCATTTTCACAGACAGCAAGCGGTAACATTGTTCCTTGCTTGATGGATCCCTCTCAGACAGCAGATTGGGGTTGACATGATGCTAGATGACCCACCATTAAAAAAATCCTAACATTAAAATCTAGCATGTCAAGGAGAAGGCTAGGCTAGATGGCTATGTGGTGCAATGTATAGAGCACTGGACTTTTAGAGTTTGAAGGGATTCAAAGGTTCAGGGTTTGAGTCCTGGCAAAGTTGCAGGTAGATTTTTGGAGAGTCAGTGTGGTGTAATGGTTAAGAACATACCTAGAAGATCCAGGTTTGAATCCCATAAAACCTTGTGACACCCCCAAACCTTTTAGTCATAGGGGAACATAACTTCATTTTCTTTTCAACATATCTGCAGCTGCAAAAGAAGATGAAGCAAGGGCTTCACCCCCCTGCTAGTTTGCCCATCCTATCCTCCCACCTACTGTAGCAAATAAGATTCCTGTGTTGACCTAGATGGGAAAGGAAGGATAGGGAATAGCAGAAAAGGCCATGGCTGCATCCCCATCAGATGCCATCTCTGTAATCTGGCAAGACTGCTCATAGTAGATGTGGTGTAACAGTCCTGCTCAGGCCTGCAGGCCCTGTTCCACCTTGCCCTCCAAGGTTTTCCCAACATCTGGAGAGGCTTCTCTCTCTCTCTCCCTCCCTCCCTCTCTTTCAACCACGGCCACCACCTGACCTTTGTAAGGAATTGCGTGCTGGGAGGGTCAGGACTCCCAGCTTCCCTTCCAGGTTCTGAGGCCTTGCCTCTGTGTCTCCCACCGCCCAGCACATGGTCACCATAGGGACAGTTTACTGCCTTGTGCGCCCCGAAGGAATAGCCACTTGCCAACTGCCTGCCTTCTCCCTGGAACCCCTTTTAAAATAGCATGTTCAAGACGGTGGAGGTCTGTGTGGTACAAAGAACCACTACCAGCAGAAGTGTTCACAAGTATATTTTTCGCACAGCACCAAACTGAGCAAGAGATTAAAAAGAACTGGGTAAAACACAATTTCTCTGTCCTTCTCTCTATACGTGCCCTATCAGATGTTAAAATAAAGGACGGGTTCCATAGCTTAGAATGTTATATATCTCAACAGAGTTTTCATTACCTTGCAGCTCCGTTCAGCTATCCAGGCCAGCACATGGCAATAGCCGCCGCCGCCTCCTCCTCCAGACCTCAGTTAAGAGTTCTGTCTGTTCTGATGGACTCAGCACAAAAAGAGACCTTCCTCCCTGCTTCCCTGAGTTTTATCACCTCTCTTTCCCCCACCCACTGACCAGGTCAGGCCCGGTCAAAGAGGCTTTTCCTGGAATCACCAGGAGTTCCTTCCTGAAGTCTCTCTAGCCTCCAGTTCCTTAAGCATTTCTTACGAGGTAGCTGAGGTGAGTCTGGAAAGTCATTGAACTGACTTCTCCCTCCCAGTCTGTTCTCTGCCCAGAGAGAAAAACCTTTAAAACCTCCTGGTAAAGATTTTACTCATGTCAGACCAGTACCCCAAAAATTCATTTCTTCACAGTAGATAATTATTGTGGAACTAGCAAAAGGCCCATAATTATTACGGTTTTGTGTATGTGTGTGCAGAAGGAGGGTGTGTGCATTTTCAAGGTCCCCAAGGGCAGAATGCAGCCCCCAGCAGATGTTTTGGCACTGAAGGCCGAGCTACCTACTGCTGGGGTGGAGCACAGCTTCTACCTTCATTTTAGCAATACCATAAAGTGCAGTGCAATTTTTCTTTTTGTAGCAATGTATGGGGAAAGTAAAAAAGAGAGTCATTTGAGAACACATGGGGGTCCCAGTGACATATTAACATCAACCTATCACTGACTGTTCTGGGTTCTGCTTCTTAGTCATGCTGTAACGTAACAGAATGTTGGGAACAGGCTGATTGAGCTTTTGTATGCACTCTGAAATACATAACTGTCTTCAAAATAACTGTGTACCTCTGGAATTATGATGCTTTAACACTTGATTAGCACCCAGTTTATTACACAAACACTGATTCACAGATACAAAATGAAGTGCTATAATGCTACTGTCTGCTCCATGCAAGTAGAAAACTAGCACTGTAGTGGGAAAGGTTCTACCCAGTGCTTGCTCTGCTGACTTTCTATTTATGAGGAGTTTTCAAACACAGGGTGTGGTCAGACGGCGTGCTGAGAGCAGGTTATTTGATCTGGATAATCGCGATCACACTAACCTCGTTTATCCCGCCTCACCACACAGTCACGTCGCTCCTCGGCATCTACACTACTGATGTGTGGGAGCATGTGTCAGCGGGGTTTTTTTCTTTTCCTCAGTTTGCGCATGTGCATAGGCACCCCTCCATAGAAGGGGGGAACTATCATGGCACATGCGCAGAACCACCAGGATGAATCAATCCAACCCCTCCAACAAAAGACTTCC